CAGATACAGACTACTACAATGCATTTGGTACTCTGTACTCTGTAACAATAGGAATAATGCCGAGTCCGCAGGACTTCATTGATTGATGTGAGATTGGTGATGGATGAATTGATAGAGGGAAAGAAGATGTGATGTGATATGACCTGTCATATCTGACAGTAGTCTATTTTTTAGTTATTCCGTATCGCGTATGGAGTAGATGTACCTTAGATAGATATTCTATCTCAACATTTAACCAGCTGGACAGCAGCACTGACTACTGGCAGTGATGACTGAATAGTGAACAATGCGCGACTATTGATCCTTGATGGAATCCACAATCCCGCTGTCTCCCAGTCTCTGCAGTCAGTATTCTACTAGTGGTGCGGCGTACCCCTAGCCTGGGTACCAACCAGAGACGCGGGAAGTATTTGAGATTTATCCTGGTACTGAGGTAGTAGGTCTGCCTAGGTTGTTAGTGCGGTGCAGGGATAACCCCCTGTCAGTTGCGTTGACGATTAGCGAATGATGCCCCAGGCAGCGATACAGGATGTATTACCTTGGATAGACAGCTGAGGACCTTACACAATTTGACATTACACTTAAAGCTACTAACTACAGAGTATCTGTCATGTCCAAAGTGTATAGAGCAAGTTCCAAAATCAGTCAGAGGAGGATGAACCAGACAATGGCTACATACTACCTATAGGAGGTATGGAGTACCTTACCTTACAGTACAGACAGTACAATACAATACAAGTATCTATCTGTACGGCCAGGACAAAATGAGTAAAGAGCAGCTTTTTGCGAAGAGTGGAGCGAACGGCCCTCTCGCATCCGCCGCTGTTTCCTGACTGTCGGGCCTCCAGCCTGCACAATGCGAACCTCAGGGGGTCCGAGCACCCCAACTGTCGGAGATACGGAGTTTCGGAGCCTTACTCTGTGTACGGAGTACAGGGCTTGCATGATCGTCGCTAGGCTCGCTTCCTACCAAGTCTGGTATATGCAGCAATATAATATATAATATCAATATGGAGGATGGCAAGGATATTATTTCTTTGAGTTTCCAATAGGAAATCATCTACGGAGGTGTGGTGCAAAAGTCATTGTCGGACCCACATACCTACAGCCAATTAGCATTCAGAGATTGTATGTAGTAGGTCACGTGACTGCCGAGGACTTTTGCACCACACCTCCGTATCTACATTCTACAAGTGGCTGAGGATCTGACGGCTGAGATGTCATCAATTAATGCTCTGATTGCGATCCGACACCACGTAACCATCGACGATCATGCCGTGCAATGACAGAGGAAATGAGTATGTAGTTAACGACTCGGCAGACTATTAGTGCGCTTATACAGACTATGGAGTTTCACAAGGTTTGATTCATGTGTAGGTATCTGTATCAGGGTTTCTGGTCAGATCGAGGTTATCCACGATCTTCTCCGCTTCAGCACTGTTCAGAACTGATGAAAGTCGCGATCTCTGAGTTCTGACGTAAAGAATGACCCTTGAGAAGGACACGCTGTGATCAAGACTGTCGCTGTAAAGAGTTAGAGTTGTGAATAAAGTAGTCTAGTGGCTAGTTTCATAGTCAGAACAAACCAGACAAACATTGATCGGGCTTCATATCCAGAGTTTGTACCCGTTCGGGGACCATCTCAGCCATGTGGTTCCCGATACGCCCAAGCGCCGACACGGGAGACCTTGTATTTCCCCTTTGGGGATTGACGTCGCATCCATCACGAACGCCGGAGTACACTACATCCTCTCGCTACCAGTGCTACCAATCCTGTGCCAACATCCCATTCTTCTGGAGAGGCCGTCCACCTTGTGTCTGTAGATTGTTGAACCTGTGTGTGTGTCCGCGTCTGTGGCTATCCTGCATCAACCTGAACCACGTACAGGGCTTCGGAACAAAGAGTCGTCGGGAAGGGGCAGGCCCTGCCTGCTGAGATTCCAAATACTCCTTCTTGGTGTGTGAGTCTGCGGCTGCTGTTCCACCTGTTCCTCTCGCCCAGGGCGCGGGGCATGACCATCATCGTCATCATGGCCGTCACGACGACCATCGCAAATGTCGATTCGAGCTACTAGTTCCTCGCTCCAAGTCTGGGACGGTATCGCCATCAGCGGTGATGCCATAGACCCTGTACGGTAGATAGTCTATGATTGCCACCCCCTCTATTCGTCCTCTGTCTTGGTGAGTAGGATTGGCTGAAACGCAATGTGATGTGATGGCACTATTGAGTCTCTAGATGCTGCGTCACCTTCAGCTTTAACTGACTCGTCGCGTCTGACAAATTGTGTCCTCTTCTGGCATTGTTCCAGGATTCATCAATCCTGAGAGATTGTATGCAGTGAGGGGGCCTTGGCTGGTCCCTGACCCAGAAAGTGAAGACTCTGGTTCTACCGTTTTTCCGTCCGCACCCTGAACCACGTATCTCGAGAAGAATGGGCGGATTTCCCGCTGTCAGAGCAGTTTAACTCGGCGCCTCAACGGTGTACCAGTACCACTATCACGCAGGAAATCAGACCGAGAATAATACGTCCACGGGTACTAACTCCGTACAGTAGAATACACCTTGTACGGCAGTGGACGAACTGCTAATCCATAATTCCTCCTGATTATGCTTAGTGAAGTCAAGTCTGTGGATCAAGCTTGATCTGGACCAACCAGCCTGAGCCAATTGTGCCCCCGGCCAAGAACCCAATCGACACCGTCGAAACTCAATCTGCGTCCCAGCGCACAGGTAACTACTCACGGTAAGCGTAAAACACGACGACAATGACTCCGCCAGAGTATGGGATTTGGAGGTAGTAAATGTCGGTAAAAATCCGGATGATCTCCGCAGCATGCAATGATGAGCAAGACGGAGTAAATCGGTGGCTGTCTGTTAGCTTGGTGCTGCAGTCCTACTACGTACGTACAATAGTATGCTCGTGCTGCTCGAGGCAATTGAATCGCGGGTGTCGACTGGCTATCCTGGGCCGGGCACTCGGGGACCATGAAGGGGATCACTTGGTGTCAGGATTCAAAACATCCGTGCCGGTATCGTCGACTGAAGGGGTAACACCCTGACAGTACTGACTCCTCCAGACTTTCAGTGTTCCATGCTGGTAAGGTATGATTGGTATCACTATCCCAATCTCTTCTCTAGACTAACGGTGACTAGAGGATATTGGATCGACTCGGTGTCGCACCAGTCTAATAGATGAAGCCCAAGAGTCCCCATGAACCATGAAGGGGAGGGGTGGATCCGAGCACCTGCACTACCATCCCAAAAGAGGTCAGAGACGGGCCCATCCATTCACAACAGAAATGTCTAGTCTGGAGGCCAGACTACTCCACCGTCGTGGTGATGCTGATGGCGCTGGTGTCCGTATCCACTTTCTGCGCGAAGTTGACAAATTCTCCGCCTTGGTGGCGGTTTGGTCGATCAATGATCAGTGAGTCTGACTAGATACTCGGTAGATATCCGTACTCATTACTGACTAGACTCCGCCTATTCGGGGCACAGCACCGGACAGAAGCAGTGGCACGGATCTAACAAGCCCTGCTTGTCAGATATCGTGTCAAGGACCTATGAACCAGGATTCACCCCAGAGATATAGGTGAGCAGTGAGCTTATGAGCTAGAGACAGTGAGGCAAGCCCTTAGCATAGTTATACTCTCTAAGGAGAAGGAATATAATGGTAGGTAATTTGTCTCCAAATACACCTTGAAGATGGCGATGAGAGAATGCAAGAGATCTCTATAGAGAATCCTATGATTGCAGTTGGTTCTCCACATAGCTTAGAACATACATATAGCATTCTCAGTCTAATGAACCTGGACTGAATGCAACTCTAGAAGTAGATAGATAGTTAAATATATGCAGAGTTTAACAAAGTAAAAGGCATTCTTATGATCATAGTAGTAATAGGCATTACCTATAGGTGATAGTAAGAATTAGGGTTTACTTTTAGCCACTTTGTTAATTCAGTCCGCTGTAAAGATAGTTATATTCTTCCAAGAGTAGTGCTATCTAGCCGCCATTCACCTAGATAGCCATGTGACACTCAGCATCTGACCTTTGCAGTCTTTGGAATCTCCAACAGATCTCCCACTGGGTTTCCCTGCAGCCAGGCGTCCATGGCCTTATATAACTTAGAAAACCCTTGGTTATTCATCGTCGGCAGATCATTCCAGATTGGATGTCCCAGACGCGCCTGCGCCACTGCCAGGTACTGATATCCAACTGGATATTTCTTCAGTTCGGCCGGGTCAAAGTGCGGTACGGTGCATCCGTCAATGGGGACGACACGGTCTTTCTCATAGAATAGCTTGATATACACCACCTTCCAGTTGTCACCTTGAGACAGAAATTGATGAGCATCCACAGTAATGTCTTTGCATCATGACTTATATCCGCATCTGATATCTTGAATCTGGAAAAACTGTAACATGCCGGCGGGCGAATTGCTGATCAATATCAAAGTACAAGGCTTGGATCAACCAAGCAATAGTTAACCTCTTATTAACTCTTCTGTCAAACAGAACTAACCTGAAGCTAGTTTTGAAACATCCACATATAGTTGTTTGTATTAGCTTTGATGCTACAGTCATTCTGTTCGCCGCTTGTGGATGCCATCCTATGAATAGTGCAGACGTTTTGCATAACCAATTTCTAGAGGCCTAGCATGTAAAATCTCAAGATCTTGGCAGACGAGGCGGCTGCTAGCCTTCTGATTCATACTGCATCTTGGCGCTGATCGGAGTCTCAAAAGTACCTAGCTTAATCTTATCCCCGGCTCTGTTCCGAGGACATCGACTGTGGCTTGCAGCAACTGTCGCTGTCTATACTTGTCTCATTCAAACTCAACCGTCTAGGGAATGACCCGCTCAATCGCCTCCTCTGTCGTCAAGCTACCGTACGATCGTACCTTGTAATCTTTTGCGCTCATAAAACCACGGTAACCACCCATGTATACTCCCCCAAAGTCTTCTATTTCCAAGTCTAGAAATTCAGGGTGACAGGAATGGCACACGAAGAGCACAACATCAACTGGAACATCCTAGCTGCTAACCTCATCCACCGCTCTCCCTCCTACCCCGCGGCAGACCTAGTCTCCAATCTGTACTTTCGGTTCAAACCTACGCAAGGGCGGGAAATCGGCTCCTTTATCGAATCGTTCGTAAGGACTCTCGAAAAACATACGCAGTGCGAGCGCCGCAAATATCCAGACCAGTACAATCCCTTCACGCCGGACGAGCTGATCCTGAACGACCACGTGGCGGAGCAAATCCGCCCCCTCGCCTCCCGATGGTGCAAGGCCTACAACTGGCCGCTGAAGGATAAAATCCGGGAGACGGACGGTCTGTGCCGGCATGTCGACAGCGAGAGCTTTGCCTGTGGGTGTTCCCTGCCATACCACGAACGGAGGGGAGCCGCTTTCCAGCGGTCGTTCCATGACAACACTTGCTACGAGTTCTTCGCCGACAACACTGAGGTTTTCTACAATTTGCAGGTGCTGAACGCACTCCTTGTTCTGGGGGAGATGGACACCGTGCTGCGACTGTGCGCGCAACCGGATAACAATTTGGAGGAATCGATGCTTGTGCAGCATTGTCGATGTATGGTGAGTGGGGCGTATTTTCTGGCCTGGTCCTGCATCAATGTCACAAAATGGGCACTCGTCTGACTGGTTATAGAGCCCGGATCTTGGCTGGGACCAAGTCTTCGAAGCTGCTTTGAACATCTACCTCCTACTAAACATCCTTTACTGCTTTCCCGAGCTCTGGGACTCAGCGTCCCGGCAGGCCCGAAACAAGAAAAGGAGCGATGAGTACCGCGCCACGCGGATGTATCAGCGGACTGTCAAGATCTGGACCCATGACGGGTCGGAAAGCGACGTCTCTCGCCACCCTCACCGGCAATTTTTCGGCCTGGAGGGGCATTTTGGCTCCAGACTACATGTCTCGCGCGGTTGGGATCGGCCCGTCCTTGCCCAGCTGCGCGAGAAGGTGGCAAAGGACCGCTGGGGGCGTGAGACCACGCCGGAACATATATCGGAGCTCTCTCTCTGGGACGAATGTTTCCCGTACGGCAAACTGCCCTTTGAGGAGTTCTTGGCTTGCGGAAAGGGGGGAGCAGCCGGCGGCCAGCATCAGGCCCGAAGCGCGGCCGACGTGGCGCGGGTCGAAGCATATCTTCGGGCGAAAAGGTTGCCGCAGGAGCTGGTTCTGCAGATCACGGCCTGCACGGAGTATATTCGATCGCGTTCGCAGCTCCCTGTGCCGCATGATCCACTTCATCGACGGAACCGGACGCAGCTACGGCAGCATTTGGACCACTGCTGGCAGATTTTGGTGCGCTGCAATATGCTGGCGCGGGAACTGGGCACCAAGATCGATTGGGAGTACCGGTTGGTCGATTCGCTGGACCGCATGGTGTCGAGTCCGGTGGGGATGAATTTATATGAACGGGAGGCGCACGAGTCGGGTGATTTCTGGCAGACGACGCTGAGGGGAGGTAGTGGTGAACTTCCGTACAGTATCCCGGACTAGATCGCCGAAAAGCAGGACGGGTCGGTCGATCCACTTATGTACATATCACTATTAAATGATAATCCACGACGAGACGGTCGTTACCATAGACCTTTGAACCTGGATTCACCCACAGAGACTTAGATGAGCTCGTGACACACCTACCTAATCATACTCATGATCGGTCCATTCATCATCCGTCTCCCTCTCCCACAGATCATCCTCGTTGTCCAGCGGCTGCTTCACCGAGGTTGCATTCTCGATTAACTCATCAATCCCCTCGATGTATGTCAATCGTGGTAATTTCTTGTCCTTATCGGCGAGCAGATTCTCCAACTGCCAATCAAATACGTCGTCCGGAAGACCCTTAACCTGCGGTTTCATACCCTTCTCGTACCCGTAGATACAGAGTGATTCGAGACTTGGTGGGAGATGATCCACGATCGCAAATGATGCATCCTCCACCTGGTTGGGACCAAATCCTCGAGCCAGGTAGTAGAGGAGGTGGATTCCGAGGCTCAGATTCTTGAGATTGGTAAACCCACGAAGAGAGCACGGTGACGATCGACAACCGACTGGGTCATCCTCCGGTTCGAGCTCCTGGAGTTCTTCTGCCCACTCCTGCCGATAAACGGGGTGGGATCTCGACGATGGGCCGTCACTGGCAAAGAAAACTTGTCCTAGGCCGGGGTCGAAGGTCTCGGCCAGTGGAGTTTCTGCCTCCACATCCAAATCCAGATCCAGCAACGAATCACCGTGCAAGAGGAGAGCCCGAAGGACATGATCTGGACTGAACATGCTCAACATGCCATCGCTCGAACCTCGGCCACCAACCGCATAGGTGAACTCTTCCAGCAGTTTAGCCGACTCGATGGCCTGCACCAGATGATGGTAATCTAAATTGGAGTTTCGAATGGTGATTCTGGTATAATTCGCTGATTGGGGCGGGGGTTCAACACTGGCACTCTCCGTGCCCATAATGGCGTCGACTCGGATGGATTCCACTCCGGGCAGCCGGCGCACCAAGTTAAGGCTGCCGTACAGGTCATAGGGCTGGTAATAGAACCAGCGATAGATGCTTGTATCAGGATCGACAAGAAATCGAACCTTGCGAAGGTTATGCAGGAATGGCATAGTCTCCTGCGGGCCACTATTCGCACGGTCTAGGAAATGCTTGAAGAAATAATCCGTTGCCCGGAGAGGAGTCCCATTAGCTTGCGCAGTCACTTTCGACAGCCTCGAATGTTCCTGGCCGACAGGGCAGAAATTTAGCGATTCCAACAGTGGCGAGACGCTGACCAGCAACGCTGCCAATGCCTGGGCGAGAAACGGGGTTCGCGGGTCATGATGGCTAGTCAAAGTCAGGCTCGGGTGTTTTAGAACTCATTTGCTTTGAGGACATGAAAGCCGCACCATGAGATAGTAGAAGAACAAAGAAGGGAGAGGGAAGGGGAAAATCATACTCCATGCTGGCCGGATTCTGTAGTAGGATGTTGAGCATCTTCTCCTGTTCTTGCGGTGACTCAAAGCCGGCCCGCCGGATAGCCTCGGTCAAGCGCTCCTGGTCTTTTGGTCGGAGGGACCGCTCAGGGGCCTTCACTGTGTATGACTGCACGATTCCATATCCTAATGATGGGGATCGGTTCAGCTCTATATGGCGAACGTACCGCCCGTATTGAGGGGTTTTGAGAATCGACCGGAGAATTTTGAAGGCCACAGCCAAATCTAAGGTCTCTCGTAGCTTTACTCGGCGGTATTTGCGCCGACTGGTCATGTCACAAAGACGATGCCAACGGTGGCATTGTAGAGAGAGCGCCGCTGCATCGGCATGTGATGGAAGGTAAGAAAGGATGAGCAGGAGAACTTCGTCTGGGAGGGATTGGAGAGACATTCTTATAGAAGGAGGCACTGGAGATATCCAGACAGTCAGCCCACCGGAAGAAGGATTGATACAGCCTCTAGTCGAGAGAAGGAGAGAGGCAGAGATGTGAGGGAGGATAGGATGTCTGGTATTGGGTGGATCAACCGCCATATCATGTTGGAATATAACTACTTTTTTACCCCTTAAACAGCATTTCTAAACAAAAATTAATTTCTAATGTGATTGGGACATTGTAATTACTTATGTTCTATAATATGACAGTCTAGTAGGGTCTGTAGGGATAGTTTAGATAGCCTCATTAGCCTGATTCCTGCGTTAAATGAACTCCTGCCCTTCCTAGATACAAAATCCCTCTTTTTTTGGACCTGCTTTTCATACATAGTGTGTAGATCCTAGAGTTGCATTTGGGTCTGAGTTTGGGTGAGTTCTTAACTAGTTAGTACTGAATCACTGTGATTTTAAGTTTAGATTTTAGAACTTGGAACCTACCCTGACCTAGTATAAGTTTATTATTGATAGCATGCTGGTGGATGAGCAATGCTTGGTATGTCACTGTCTATACCCTGACAAAGACTGGCATCGTCTCAATGGGACACGCAACCTCAACGTCCTGACCTCCAGCACGCACCATTTCCTCCCCCCATAGCCTCCATGAAGCTCCTGCGGGCAGATACACTGTGATATTTCGCTGTTCGGCCTCGAGAACTGGCGCAACAAGATACTTGGCCCCAAACAGATACTGCGTCTCAATTTCCCAAGACTTCTTGTCCCCCGGGAACTCATAGAATAGAGTCCGAATCACTGGCGTGCCCTTCTCATGCGCCTCTCTCATCAAACTCCTCGTGTAGTCCCGCATCTCCTCACGAATTCCGATGTACTTCTTGCAGATCTCATACACCTCCTCGCCATAGGACCAAATCTCATTGTCGCCGCCTGGAGCGGTCGGCTGATCGGCAGGCTTGGGCTCCCGGTCACCGTGCAGACGCATCACGGGACAGAACGTACCCCATTGGAACCACCGGGTGAAGAGTTCCCGGAATGCGGGATCAGCGGGGTTGCCCCCATGGAAGCCTCCGATATCCGTCGTCCACCACGGGATTCCTGCGAGGCCCATGTTCAGGCCCGCGGCCAGCTGGTTGCGGAAGGAAGCCCACGAGGACGCGATGTCGCCGCTCCAGACGAGAGCACCGTACTTTTGGCTGCCGGCCCAGGCGCACCGGAGCAAGTTCACGATGTTCTTCTGTCCCTCGGCCTCCATGCCTTCGTAAAAGGCCCGCGCATATTCCCTGGGGAAGATGTTGCCGATCTGTAGGTTGCTGCCAGCCTGGTAGCGGTAAATGTCAAAGTCATAGATCGAGTATTCCGGCTCGGCTTCGTCGAGCCAGAAGACCTTGATCCCTTTGTCGTAGTAGTTTTTCTTCGCCTTTTCCCAGATATACTTGCGCGCCTCGGGGTTCGTCGCGTCGAAATGTGTGATGTCGCCGTCACACTGCATAGCTACTCGAAGGCCGCGGTCATGTCTGATCAGTAGACCGCGTTCGAGCATCTCCGGGTAGTTTTCGGATAGGTTCTCGACTGTGGGCCAGATGGAGACCATGAGCTCCACCTTCATCTCTTTGAGTTCTTTCACCATTGCATCTGTGGTCGCAACCACCCCTATCAGCAACTACCGATGCATCTCATGCGGCTGGAGTAGACTCACCTGGGTCTGGCCAGAATTCGGGATCAAAACTCCACTCTCCTTGGTGCTTCCAGTGAAAGAAGTCAATCACAATAACATCCAAAGGAACATTGCGTCGTTTGTACTCTCGCGCGACGTTGAGCAACTGCTCTTGGTTCCAATAGCGGAGCTTGCACTGCCAGAATCCAAGGCCGTACTCGGGCATCATCGGGACATGCCCTGTCACCTTGCAATATGCCTCTTCGATCTCCGCAGGTGTGTCACCCGCAACAACCCAGTAGTCGAGGACCTTCGTCGAATATGCCTCAAAACTCATGATATTTGTTCCGAGCACGGCTCGTCCGATCCCGGGATTGTTCCACAAAAGACCATACCCAAGAGAGGAGAGAGCAAACGGAACGCTAGCCTGGGAATTCCGATGTCCCAACTCCAAGTCGACTCCCTTGAGATTCAGATAAGGCTGCTGATACTGGCCCATACCGTATATCTTCTCCTTCGGGTCTAGCGACTCCAATCGCATCGTGAGATGGTAATCTCCTCCCAGGATTGGTCGGAGCTCGCGCGCTTCAATCTCGAGGGCGCTGCACTTCGGGTCCATTGGATCACGACGATGACGGGCATATTCTTCCAGGAGCTTCTTACCCTTGGAGTTGTAGATTATGATCTTGCCTCGTTGGGAGACAACCGCCTTGATTTTGCCATTTGAAATACTCGCCTCTTTGCCGGCGGGGGTATCGATGATCGCCTTGTGTGTGCTCGGCTTCGAAGATAGCGCCCAATCCTCAGATGGCATAGACGCTAACTTTGTAGCTCTGATACGGAAAGCATTCTCGCTCCATGGCTGGATCCAAAGAATGTGGTCATCAAATCGGTAGACGAGCTTACCGTCTTCAGCGTAAAGCATAGTGGACAAAGTGAGTGATCAAAGCTCGATATTTACGTCTGTCGGTCTCTTCGCAAAGCTAGAAGTATGAGTGGCACAGAGAGAAATACGTTTATTTTGGGGTACAGCTCACTGATATGAGAAGGTGGTCTCTGCACTGCGTCTTCAGTCAGAGTCCAGATTGGCCAGCGCATCATCCCTAAATGTGGAACGGAGGTCCACATCATCTCCATCGCAGCTGTCTATGAGCCTGTCATAGTTTTTGTGCTGCAAGAGGGTCTTGCAGGCGCGATATATGGCTGCAATTGATCGCTTATGTCCTCGGAAAAAGTCCTGTGGAGGTGGAGGTGGAGGTGGAGGTGGGGGAGACGACCAACTAATCCTTTGGAGCTCAAAGAAGCGGAGACGCGCTGTTCGTCCACATCCATAGGACTATAGTCCTGGAATAAAGGTTTAAGGTATTGGAGAATAGCCTAAATTGAGGAATGTTGCAAATTTGCGGGACACGTAACGGGGAGAAGGATGATTGTTCGAGCGGGGAAGTCGAAAGTCTTCACTGATGCTCTTGAAACAGT